ATTACAATTACTACCGTGCACTTTCATTATAATTTCACTTCACTTCCTTCACTTTCAATTGTGATAATTTTAATTTCTTTTATTTTAAACCGAGGTGTAAATGTTACCCTTCCATTGTTAGTAAAGTTAACTGAATTCGTCATATAAGCTAAGGCCTTGGAAAGTAATCAGCTTATTTGGTTTCGTTTTTTTGAAAATAATTTTAAAAAAATTTTATTTTTTTATTTTTTGTATTTTTTTGTTTCATTTGATTTTTTAAAATATTTTAAGTAATTTTTTTTTAATTTTTAGACACACTTATACATAAAAAGTATAATTTTTGTGAAAAAATCTTTTAAAAATTCAATAAATATAAAAAATACCAAAAAAAAATATGAAAATTTAATATGTTTTTTGTATTTTTATGTATTTGTTAATTTTTTAAAATATTTTTTCACAAATTTTTTACTTTTTAGATATATCTAAGTTAGGTACATCTAAAAATATAAAAAAATGCTTAAAATTTAAAAAATATTCACTAAAAACAAAAAAACACGAAAAACAAAAAACTCAATTTTTAAAAAACTTAATCCAGAAAACTCAAACCAAACACACTGAATAGCTTTAGTTTAAAAGTTAAAAAATTATTAAAAAAATTAGAAAGCCTATAATCTATATCAAAAAATTAAAGATTCTATTTTTTCTCTACTTTTTGTATATGTTTTCGTAAAAAATTAAAAAGTCATTTCAAACATACAAGTTCTTTTTTACTTCATATTTTAGTAAAAAATAAAAAAATTACTAAAATAATATATTTCCAAACAAGACCTAAGCGTGATATTTATTTTGTTTTATAAGCATTCTTACACTTTTATCAAAATTTTATTTTAGTCTTTTCTCTTTTAGTCTTATTAGTGTTCTTTCATTACAGTGCTTTTATTTTTAATTTTTCTCAACTTCATTAATTGTAGATAGGCATAAGGTTGACATTGTAACTTGACTAAGTGTAAGGAATTGATTATTATAATTAAAAATATAGGATATAAAATAAAATTATAATGAAAATATAGGTAATTAATTGATCTTTAAAATATATAGGTAACATCCATAATTAGACGAATCTGTTGACTTGACCTCTAATTTTGTTTAATGTTTTTTTGCTTGTGTACAATTCCAAATTGAAAGTTGGATTATTTCTCAGGTACTAGTTGTTATCCAGAGATAATAAATACTTTATTTTTTTTAGTCGATATTCTCACTTTATTTTGCTTTAAATACAATTTTTTTTATTTTTGTTTTTATTAAATATAGTTACATCAATATCCTTAAAATTTTAATTTTTTCACAAAGTATATTTCCTATGAAAGGATATTAATATAACTATGTATAGTAAAAAATTTGGAACAAAGTGGAATAGAGAAAAGTAACTCCCAAAAAATGTAGTTATATAAAATTCGAATAATGCTACATCTATTTAAAATTTTATTAATAACATTCCTTAAAAATATATATATCCAAATATAATTAGATGTTTAAATATTATTATTAACTTTTAACAACCAATCACATTTGATCTATTAGATTTTTTAGTATTAAATTTCAACCTTTTACCTCACCTTATTCTTTTAATTTTTAATTATTTTAGCATTCCTTCTATTAAAAAGCAATCATTATTAAAAGGTACAATTAGAATGACAAAAAAAAAAATTACATTTTCCGAAATAAAATCTCTAAATTTTAATTTTATACTTTATTTTTCTTAAATTTTTATTTAGTATTCTACTTTTAAATTTTTCCTTTTGTTTCAATACAGCTCTGATCATTAAATAATGTAAAAATTTAGAGGTATAATTTAATAATTAAGAGCACATTAGAATAAAAAAAAAAAATAGTTTTAGAGACAAATGGACTCAGGCGCGAGTCCACATCCTATGTATTTTTATTTTTTATTTTTTATATGTGTTTCAGTCTAAAGTTTTATGTTGAACATGCAAATGGACTCGGGGGCGAATCCACATCCTATGTATTTTTAATTTTTATTATGTATATGTAATTCAGTCTAAAGTTTTATGTTGAACATTCTAACACTTTTTCCAAACACCTAACACAGTTTAACACTCACCCAATCTATTTTTTTGAACACTCAACGCACAACCTTTTAATCAATATATATATTTTGTGATACACAACTTATTTTAGAGCTTTATTTCTTCAGCATGTGCAAAGTATCTTGTTGACAAAATTGTTTAATTCTACAATTCTTAACAAGTGTGCCACTTGAATGCTAATGATGATTAACAATTTTATAGCTTACCTCAATTTAAATTAAATAAGCTTTCCTCATTTTTTTAATTTTTTTTTAATCATGCTAGTGATAAAAACAAAATATATTTATGTAAATTTTTGTATCTATATTTTATTTTTTGAAACAGTGATATCAATATGTTAGAATTTTATCTTACTTATTTATTTGTGTGTGATTCAAAAGGTAAAAAAAAAAAATTAAATTTTTGAATGTCTACCATAAAAAAAAATTTATGGAGTACTTATTACGAACCCTTGAAAAAATTTCTAAAGTCGTTACTAAATGGACTAGTATTCTAATGAAAAAAAATTCATATCGTTAAGAGTAGACTCAATTTTTTGGGTATTTATTTTAAAAATAGATTACTAGATTTTAGAATTTTGTCATTACTTTGAAAAGCTATTAGAGTGGGAAGAATTAAATCCTAATTGTTATTTAAATAGTGGCTTACAACAATTATACTTCTTCTTTTTTTGGATATCATCTCTCCAAAAATAAGGAAAATTTCAACATGTACTCTCAAAAGGATGCACTATATATATCTCTAGTTATACCATTTTTTTCTTTAATTATGATCCATTTTCTTCTTTAATTATGACATTATTTTAGTTATAACTCATAAATTTTTTAATTATGTTTCATGTTGTATTTGGTTATGACATTTTTTGTAATTATGACTTAAAAAGTATAAAATTATATTATTTTTTTATTTAGGGCCCTTTTAGAAAGCTGGTAAAAAGTCAATTTTTTTTGACTTTTTTGGGTTACATCATCTCTCTATTTTTTACACAAAAAAAATTTAAAAAATCAACTATTTACCAACTTTTTAAAATATCACTTAATTATAAGGTGTACATAGTACACACCTTTGAAAGTTGTATATCATAGTATTTCCCTCTAACAATTATCTATTTAAATCTTTTTGAACACGGGAGAAAATTATTCAATGGTTTGTGAGGGATCATTACAATAATTTTGTAATGAATTACAATTTTAACTTTTGTCACACCCATTTTTGTTGGCCATATGAAATAAAATGGAATATGGGTCTCAATCTCACCGTCTCCAGAAGAAAGGAATATAAAATTTTGAATGTCACTTACCAATTACAAATAGATGAGACAAAAAATAGAACAATATTAAGGAATTATTGAATAATTATGGCTTCATTTTGGGAAAGGTTATTTTAGTAATTTTTTAATTTTTTGACTAAAATATGAGGTAAAAAAATTATATATTTATAATGACTTTTTGATTTTTTACAAAAAGATATGAAAAAGGAGGGAGAAAATAAAATTTTTGACTTTTTGATATAAGTTATAAACTTTTTGATTTTTTTAATAACTTTTTGACTTTAAGCCAAAATTATTACTTTCCGAACGAAACCTAAGTAAATAAAAAGTCCAGAAATCATGAAAATTATTTCACAAAATTCATTGCGAAGACGTGCTGCGTGATCGACTAATTGTGCCTACAATCGAACATTCGACCTGGGTGTAACTTCAATATGAATTTTTTGATTTTTTTTTTTTCATAATTGCTAACATTGCTGTGAAATGAAAAATGAGATATAAATTAAAAGTGAAATTTTAACCACATCATTTGTTAGAAATTCTATATAAGTTTTTTATTGGAAAATTTACCCATAAGTCCTAGTTTCTGAAAAGTTGAACCATTCAGTCTTAAAAGTTTTCTTATGCTCCATTTAGTCCCATTTGCACATCAATCTAATGTTTGAAACATTAATCTGATGTTCGAAATCTAATGTTCGAAACATTAATCTGATGTTTGAAACATTGTAATGAGACCTTTCAGTCTATAAGAAAACTTTTAGGACTAAACAGTATATAAGTTATTAATTTGGGATTTATTGGTGCATCCCCCTTTTTTATTTGTGTATTATTAATCCTAATTAAAAATAACCCAATATTTTTTGTCCACTCGTATGAATTGTGAATTTGTAGAATTTTTATTATTATTTATGTTTATGTATAAAACACAATATTATTAAAATTATAGATCATTTATAATTAAAAAATAAAAAGTCAAAAGTAACCCAATAGCAATTAAATGATATTATTATATTAGTGATAATAATATAAGAAAAATATTAAAAAGTATATTAAAATTTGTGAAACTGTTTGCAATATCTAAAAATTTTATTGAGAGTATAAATCCTTTAATATTTTTGTATATTTTTTTGGAGCCATCATCAACCGGATTCATAAACGAGGGCATAGTCATACAATTATAGTTATTCATTTTTTTAAGGATTAATTTATACATAAATATAAATAAAAATGATTCAAAATTTGAATTTATCTGAATCGTTTAAATTTTATAAGTCGGATGATCAGTCGAATTATCACTTTAATAATCGGTATAACATCTGTCACCGGTGATTGTCACTTTTATTTTTAAATGATTAGTCAAACAATTGTCATGTACAAATTCCAACTTTAACAAAGGGATTTTTTAAAAATTAAGTTATAATTCACTTTTCAAATTATAACTCATTTCTCTCTCATAAAAAATTGACGACAATCAACTTTTAATTAAAAAATTAATTATAATCGTCTTCAAAAAAATAGTCCAAAATTCGATACATGCAGCATCACAAAAAATTTTTTTTTTGACAAATTTACAATTCATATGAGTGGACAAAAAACCCAGTCCAATATTTTTTTTTGTTATCACATGAAATATCATATTTGTCCGAATCGAGAGAGAGAGAAAGAGAGAGAGAGAGGGAGGGGCAGATGGAAGATGGAGGAGGAGAGAGAAATCCAAACGACAGATGTGGAGGAGAAGAAGAACATCTACTACTAACAAAAACTATAGAGCGAGAGAGAGAGAAACAGAGAGTGAGATGAGAAAGAGAGAGAAGTGAAACCTGTCTCGTGAAGCTGCAGGTGAGAGAGAAGAGAAAGAAAAAGCTCTCTTCTTTTTCTTTTACTTCTTCTCTCTTTTCTTCTTCTTCTTCTTGTTCCCCTTTCTCTCTCTCTGTAAAACCCGCCCTCTCTCTCTCTCAAATCTCTCTCTTTCTAACACCATTCACATTCATTCTTTGCTTCTCCCTTTTAAATCACGAGATCCCCATCTCTTTTTCTCTTTTTTTTCCTCCTCCTCTACATGTCTTCTTCAAAAGCTCTCTGTTTCTGTCTTGTTTGGTGGTGTTCTTGTCGATTCAATCACACACATTGCTGAGAAACAGAGAGAGAGAGAGAGAGAGAGAGAATTTTAATCATTGAGAGAGGAAGTGGGTGAATCAATCCTTCATTTTTTACTCCAAAATGTCGCATTCTCAGAAACCCATTTCGAAACTAGGGCTCAATACACTCCCCGATCGATTCCGGGACTCGATGACCTTTGACGACGACACCACCACCACCAACAAACCCGATTTCAGAGAACTCGATCTGGGTTCCCCTGTATCGCCCTTGACGACTCGGCGATCGAGTGGACCCGCAGCGAGTGGACTCACCACCACCACTAGCTCCACCACTAGCACTAGTTCGAGCTCGTCTTCGGGATCGGTCTCCGGGCGTAATAGATCCAACAAGGCTTCCAATAACCACTCCGGCGAGCTTTCTGGCTCCGTCGAGAGCTCCCCGAAGTCCGCCGGAGGCTCTCGATGCTTCAGAACAGTCCCCGGAAATCCCGATTCCGGGAACACCCAACCGTTAATCTATTCCGGTGGTAGCTCAGTCATTTCTCCGCTTGTCAATGTACTTCCGACAGGCAATATATGTCCTTCGGGAAAGATTTTGAAGACGGGAATGGCGAGTCGGAGCTCGAAAACCGAAGTTTTGGGTTCAGGAACCGTCAATTACGGCCATGGAAGCATAATGCGGGGCGGCACCGCCGTCAAATTGGGCGGCGGAGATGGAGGTGGTGGTGGTGGCGCCAACAAATCGAGAGGCGGAGATTCAGGGAGGAGCGCAATGTCGAGTTTCGATCCGGAGGAGGTGAAGAGGGCAGGGAATGAGCAGTACAAGATTGGGAATTTGGGTGAGGCATTGAGTTTGTATGATCGTGCGATTGCTATTTCGCCGGGAAATGCTACGTACCGGTTCAATAAGGCGGTGGCGTTGACGGGTCTCCGGCGATTAGCGGAGGCGGTGAGGGAATTCGAGGAGGCCATTAGGTTGGATCCAAGATATGTCAAGGCTCACCATCGTTTGGGATCTCTTCTTCTTCGGTGAGTGACTAAACATTAAAAAAGGTTCAATTTTTTGCACTCTATGTGCTTGTTAATTTGCCTATACGTTCATAAATCAGTGCAAATGGCTGTTCTTTACGTGGGTCTGTGTGAATTTGTGGTCTACTTTGGTGACAATGGTTGTTCTTTTTTTTTCCGTCTCTCTCTCTTATCTTTTGTCAGATCCAGTTCATGTTGATGATCTCTTGTTTTGTGGTTTGCCTGTTTGTTCTGTTGTGTGTAGTCTCACTGTACTATATTCTCTTTGTGTTGCTCTTTGTTACTGGTCTCTCATTGTTTTTAAAACTAGTTAACTGTTGTTTTTTCCTTTTGCTTTTTTGGTGAATTCTTGTTTTCTAAGCAGCAACTTGACCATGTTATCTCTTTTATTTAAGTTACTTAGATTACAATGATGCTACAGTGAATGAATTATGGATAATCTGCTTAATGCATTGGTGATTCGTGGGATGAAATTTGGTCACTATAGCATTATTGCGTAGAGTAATGAATTGGTTTTTTTGGGTCTTTTTTGTGAGTGATTCGAATCATGGAGTTTGTTTTTGGCTGTGTTGAGCATTTAAGATTAATGGGTTATCAGGACAGTTTTGCTTCTTGGGTTTATGCTGGCAATCGATAAATGTTTCCTCTTTTAGGTTATTTTAAAATTTTCACTTCTTTACTTGAGGAGTATTTCCATTCCATTGAACTTGTTTGTGTCATTTGGCAATTAAGTATGGATCCTTCAGTTGAACTTGTTTGTCGGTTATTAATCATGAGATATCATCTTAACCCTTTGAAGAAGTTCTACCTTCGCATGTTTCAATGCTCTTTTGGTTTTTGTTTGTTTTTAGGTTATTGCAATTTCTGTTATTTCTCCTGCATAATTGTGCAACAAACAATCTAATTCCTGTTAGGATCATAGTCTAGGGCAGGTTGAAAATGCCAGGAGGCACCTTTGTTTTCCAGGATATCAACCAGATGCAAATGAGTTGCAGAGGTTGCAAGAAGTAGAAATGCATTTAAGCAAATGCACTGATGCCCGGAAGATTTGTGATTGGAAAAGTGCACTGAGGGAAGGTGACGCTACCATTGCTGCTGGAGCTGATGCTTCTCCTCAGGTGAGGCAATTCCTCAATTTTTCTAGGGTTTCACTAACCACCACCCATTGGGTGTTGGTTAAGCTTCAAATAATGTCAAAAAAGTTTTCAATACACATTTTACATGTCCCTATACATTTTATACATACTTCAATACACTTCTACACATTTTCCCACCTTAACCAATGCCCATTGGGATGTCTTCAATTTTCTAATATCGTGATTGTAGAGATAGATGCAATAGAATGGTAAAATTGTTGAACTTGTGCAAATTGAATTTACAGCTACATATATGTAAAGTAGAAGCCCTTTTGAAGCTCCACCAACTAGAAGATGCCAATTTGAGCCTATCAAGCATTCCTAAATTTGAACCATCCACTCGTTCTTTGTCGCAGTCAAAATTTTTTGGGATGCTATCCGAAGCATACCTATTCTTTGTCCAAGCACAGATTGACATGGCTTTTGGAAGGTGAGTTCAGAAATTTTGTGTCATTGTGAAAAAAAGAAATAAGGGTTATGGGGGAGAGTGAGGATGGATGATGGATGTGTTGCAGGTTTGAGAATGCAGTTACAGCCGCTGAGAAAGCAGGGCAGATTGATCCTCGAAATATTGAAATCTCAGTTCTGCTCAACAATGTCAGGCTGGTGTCAAGGGCTCGGGTCCGTGGCAATGATCTCTTCAAATCTGAAAGGTTCACTGAAGCTTGTTCTGCTTACGGAGAAGGCCTCAGGCTTGACCCTTCGAACTCGGTTCTCTATTGCAACAGAGCAGCTTGTTGGTATAAGCTTGGGCTGTGGGAGCGTGCGGTTGATGATTGCAACCAAGCTCTACACTTCCAGCCCAACTACACCAAAGCCCTTCTTAGACGAGCTGCCTCAAACAACAAGGTAAAATTACTTTGAACTAAGTTTTTAAATATCTGTCCTTATGTATCAAGATTTTGGACATTTGATATCGTTATTCATCAATATATCGGCCTATGCTATCTAATTTTTTCCGATATTGGCTGATTTATGACTATATCACCTATATTGATACATCTTAATACCATTATTTAAAACCATGCTTTGAACCCTTATAAATTATTCAGTTCTCTAGTTTTGGTTTGTGAGTGACATTAAATTGATTTTTGAACAATGTGGATTGTAGCTTGAACGGTGGGCTGAAGCTGTTAGAGATTACGAGGTCTTGAGGAGGGTTCTCCCAAATGACAATGAGGTTGCCGAGTCTATGTTCTATGCCCAAGTTGCATTGAAGAAATCCCGAGGGGAAGACATTTCTAATATGAAGTTTGGCGGGGAAGTGGAGTTAGTATCTGGTCTTGAGCAGTTCAGGGCTGCAATATCTTCTCCCGGTATGTCATCCCACATTCACCCTTTTTAATTCATTCCTTCCTCAAATTGCATTGCCTTGAAGGTACAATTTGGAATAACAGGTGCTTCTGTAGTCCATTTCAAAGCAGCATCAAACCTGCAGTGCAAGGAGATATCTCCATTCATCGATACACTATGTGGACGTTACCCATCCATAAATTTCTTCATGGTAAATCATCTACGTCTTATGAGCTTGTTTGGTGTAACTGTTTGTAAACTGTAAGTTGATAATTAGAAAGTAGAAGCGAAAACATCTTTCCTAACTTCCAAGCAATCATCTTATTTAAGCTATTTTATTTAATAAACTGTAAGTAGAAACTGCACCAAACAATTTGGTTTAGACTGTCAAAATAAATAAATAAAAAAATAAACTATTGCAGCAAACAACCCTTATATCTTGTTGATCCTCATTTCATCTACTTCAACTGAAACATTTCTTGTTGTGTATGATGATGTTCAATAAAAGGTGGATGTGGAGGAGAGCATGGCTATTGCAGTTGCTGAGAAAGTTAGGATTGTACCAACATTCAAGATTTACAAGAATGGAAGCCGAGTTAAGGAAATAGTTTGCCCGAGCCCAGAAGTGTTGGAGTCCTCGGTGAGGCATTACAGTTTTTAGTATACATGAGACTGTACACTGTACTATTGTTCATCCTCCCTTTTTTCTTGCTTCCCAAACACCAAGCTTCGCTACGAGTTATCTGTGACAAAAACTGAGCTACTACAACATAGCAATATCATTAGGAGCCAATGCCAGTAGAACCCAGGGAGAGATAAATTTAGTTCTATTCGCTGTTTTTATTTATTTATTCATTTCTTATTTCTCTCCGGCTCCATCTTCCCGCTGTCTCATTTCCTTTTTTTTTTTTTTTTTTCCTCCCCCTCCAAAGTACTTTTTTTCATTTCATGTAGGCCAGCCTTGTTCTAGTTTCTCCATGTTCATTAAAAGATATGTACAATTCATCATATCGGCTTTTTTAGCTGACCTCCAGAGAGAGATAAAGAGAGAAGGGTGGCTGGCTGGCTTTTAGATGAGGATATGTACATTACATATATGATGATATATACACAAAACAATGGAAGCCATTGGGGCAGAATGAAAATGATGATGATGTTATTAATGTTCTTTCATTGCCCAATCATTTCATTAATAAAATGGTTCATTTCATCTTTTCTTCTTGAATACCATTGTCGTACTTGTGTTGTCTTCATTGTTTATCTTGTTAGTTGTTATAGTTCAATCTCCATCAATCAAGACCATGGTAATTTTTTCCTTTGATGGTTGGTTTTGTTATTAAGGGGTGGTTTGGGTGGTTGAAATACCATTCATTACTGCCTGAGTGCACTACCCCTTTTATCAAAAAATAAAATAAAATAAAATAAAGAAAAATAAAAGTGAAAATAAAAACAAGTGGGAAATAACGTCTTTTCTTCACAAATGTGAAATCTAAACAATGTGTTAGGCTGTGTTTGTTTAATTGTAAAAGAATCATCATTTTATCAGAATATCTATTTTCATGTTTGGTTTGATAATAATGAAAGATATGTAATATTTTATTTTCATGTTTGGTTTGATAAAAATAAAAGATACGTAATATTCTATGGCTTCTTTTGCAAGTTGAGTTGTTGGGTTTTTAATTTGATAATTTCGTTTAAATTGTCCTCTACAAATAAGTTTTTAAAAGTAATCAAATCAAACAAATTTTCTCAAAAAAATTTCTCAAAACTTGTAAACCAAACAAGTTTTCTAAACAAATCTCACATCAAATCAATCACTTTTTCTAAAACTCTCTTTCAAAATAATTTTTCAAAACATCTTTTGAAAAAAACCAAACCAAACAAGTTTCTGTACTTTTTATCTCTAAAACATATCTCTCAAACACAAACCAAACATACCCGTAATATTTTATTTTCATGTTTGGTTTGATAAAAATAAAAGATACGTAATATTCTATGGCTTCTTTTGCAAGTTGAGTTGTTGGGTTTTTAATTTGATAATTTCGTTTATATTTATTTTATATTTAAGATTTTTTTTTCAAAATTGAATTTTTTTTTTAAAAAAAAAATTAGATTTGTCTAAATTTAGACAATTTTAAAAAATGGGCTCAAAATTTAAAAAAATTCAAAAAAGAAAAAAGTTAATCCAAAAAAAATAGGCCTTTCATTAGTTTTAGCCAAATTAATAAGCCTATATGGAATCACAATTCAATAATTTAAAACAATAATCATTCTATTCTTGTCTAGTAAACCAAATGCAAAGCCTACACAAACATTCACTAACATAACAAAAATTCTTAGTTACCGTTTAGCAAAAAAAATTCAGTTGACTTTTTGGTATTTGGACTATTTTTTAACCTGTGACTAAAAGATTTGTTTTGATTTTTTTTTTTTGAGGAAAAAAAAAAAAGTAAAATAATTATAGTTAAGATCTAATATTTTGTCTACTTATTTAACCTATTTAGGCCTCATTTGGGAACTGTCTGCTATAGCTTAAAAGTTAAAAAATCATTAAAAAAATTAAAAAGTTTATAACTCATACCAAAAAGTTAAAGATTTTTTTTTCTTTCTACTCTTTGCACGTCTTTTCGTAAAAAATCAAAAAATCATTCTAAATATGTTAATTTTTTTATCTTATATTTTATCTAAACAAATTAAAAAATTATTAAAATAACCTCTTTCACATGAAATCTTAATCTCAACTAAAATAACTAAACTAAAGTGTATAAAATTCAATCGCAAATACAATTATCCCCCATACAGTGGACTTTATCTATGTAATGAATGAGATATGACACCTAATATGGATAATGTATATCATTAGATATTAATAGGACTCTAGCCCACCATTTAATGTTGATATTGTATTATAAACTTGTAAGATACGTTAGTAGCTAATGATATTGTTTGGATGTGAAATTGTTGGGAGTAAACTCATTAATGGGGAGGGTGGGCCAAGTCAAAAGACCTCATGAGGAGGGTTTCTACATAATTTTGTAATCACATGGAAGCATTTAAAGTTGCCACCTCCCAAACAGTCCCTTCCACTTGACTAAAACAGTGGTACTACATGTACTAATTAATGTATATATTATTGACAATATTTATTATACAACTTACAAATAATGTAACATCATGTGTTAGTATATTAATATGTACATTAATTAGTATATATAGCATTATTATGAATAAAAACAAAACAAAAACAAAACAAAACAAAAAAGAAAAGTCCAGGAGTGATATGTCGGTGCTAACTTGCGCCTGATGAGGTCACCATCTTGTCGGTTTGTCAGCTCAGGGCAACTTTTGTGCCAGCTACGTTACGTCCGGATTCTTCTTTTTCGAACACTAATTTTTTGAGGTGTACGTATAGATTTTATAATAATTAATAATCGTTAATTTTTAATAATAATTTAAAATTTTTATAACAAAAAATATCATTAATTATTAATTTTAAGATAAATTAAAAATACATCTTCTAAAATTTGCTTAAAATACGGATTGTCTCATGTGATTTGACTTTTGTGCCAGCTACGTTACGTCCGGATTCTTTTTTTTCGAACACTAATTTTTTGAGGTGTACGTATAGATTTTATAATAATTAATAATCGTTAATTTTTAATAATAATTTAAAATTTTTATAACAAAAAATATCATTAATTATAAATTTTAGGATAAATTAAAAATACATCTTTTAAAATTTGTTTAAAATACGGATTGGCTCATGTGATTTGAAAAATTACAAATACCCCCTTATTAGAAATTTTTTATTTTATTTAACAGAATTAATTAAAGAAATAAAATTTATAATTACTCTCCTATACAATAATAAAATTGCCTAAATTATTAATTGAAACATATTTTTAATATCATGAAAAACAGTTAATTGACTTGATGATTTATTAATAAAATGAGCAATTTGTTATGAAATTAGAAATCTCAGGAGGTGGAATGTAATTTTTAAAACTACAGGGGCGATTCGTATTTTAATTAAATCTTAAGAGTGTATTTGTAATTTATTCTAAATTTTAACGACAGGTAAAAAAAATCGTCAAAAAAAGTAATTAATTTTTAACTTTCAACAACAGTTTAAAAAATTCGTCACAGAAAACGACACTAATTGTAAGTTTTAACGTTAATTTATAAAAATCGTTACAAAAAAAGTCACTAATTGTTAATTTTTAATGACATATATAAAAAAATGTCACAAAAATTATTTTTAACAACAATTTTATTAAAACTTATTTTCAATAGGACTTGATGGGAATTAAATCCAGCTATTAGGACCTATTGATAATTTATCCTAATTTTTTTCATAACACACATTTAATGAACACATTCTCACTAATTATATTAAAAGAAAAAAATTTCATTATACATCTCTTTATTTTAATAATATTCTTATCTTTAATTTCAAAATTTTAATTTTTCTTCTACCTATCCATTCCTCATTCACCTTTGTTGCCACCATTTTCAACCCTTCATCACCACTGTCACTCCTAACTTACCTTCTTTTATGCTAAACCTCTACGGTCAATCTCGAAAGTGAATATAATTTGTCGAGGGATGTTTGTAGGAGTATATGGTTAATGATAGAAAGTGATCATAGACAAAAGAAGCAACGAGAGGGAATGGCATAGGAGAGAGGCAGCATTAGCGATGGAGGATGATTGTGGTATTTTAGAATAATGATTTAAGTAGAAGAAGATAAGTGTATTATAATATTTTCATTCTAAAACAAAATTTATGAAGTGTATGAGCGGTGGAGAATTAGCATATGAAAATAGATTTACTCGCTACGTACAAATGGAGAACAAAATGCAAAATACACAAATATAAGACAAATTTTACAATTACAGATGTGAATCAGTGTTTGGTTTGAGTTTTTTGGATTTTTTGAAAATTGAGTTTTTTTATTTTCCTATTTTTTTGTTTTTAGTGAATATTTTTAAAATTTTAAACATTTTTTTTTTACTTTTTTAGATGTACCTTACTTAGATGTATCTAAAAAATAAAAAAATTATGAAAAAATATTTTTTAAATTAATAAATACATGAAAGTACAAAAAAATGTATTGAATTTTTTTTTTGTATTTTTGGTATTTAGTGAATTTTAAAAGATTTTTTTCTTAATTTTTTTACTTTTTAGGTATATTTATGCTAGGTATGTCTAAAAAGTAAAAAAAATTACTTAAAATATTAAAAAAATTCAGCAAAAATAAAAAATACAAAAAATAAGAAAGTAAAATTTTCAAAAAAATGTTTTTAGAAAAGTATAACCAAGCAAAGTGAAATTTTTATTTTTATTTTATATCTGTGTATTCTATGTTGGATTCACTTTGTATACCTAAAATTTTTGACTTTTCGTCCCTTGCTTGAATTCTAATTTGGAAAATTTTATTATAATTTTTTAAAGTAATTATATACAAACATATATAAATTTTGAGTCACAGTAAGCCAAGTATATAATTCAGTCGTTAGAGTTAGAATTAAAATTAAAATAAAATAATATTTAAATCACACATTTTAAAGTGGTATAGTTTTACGATCATTTTAAATATTTAGAAAGTTGGTTAAAAGTTAGTTTTTTAAACTTTTTTTTTAACTTTTTTACCCTTTTGTGTATAAAAAATATAAGAGTTAATATAACTCAAAATGAATTAAAAGCTAAAAATTAGCTTTTAGCTAGCGTCTCAAATTGCCATTTGATTACAACAATAAATTTTTATAACTTTTACAGACTACTTATATTTGCAGATATGTATTAATTGAGTTCCTAATTTTATGCAAGTCTTGTAAGTGCTTACTTTATCCACAAAGTTTATCAGTCTTATTTTTCTCACAAATTTAAAATTTTTATAGTCTTATTTTTCTCACAGTTTTTGTTAGAGGTGAATGAGGCGTTAATAGAATTCAATGAAAATTTGAAAGAAAAATGAGAGGTATTAGAAATTTACCCTACTAAGAGAAATGAAAATTGCATTTGTGACCTTGCTATTCGATTGGTTCAAAATGAAAAATTACTTGCTATGTTTGGTTGGAGGATTTGGAGAGGGATTTGGAAAGGGAAACGGAAAAGGTAGGTAAAATATCAATAAAACATGTCTATATTTCACATAGTTTCACACACCTTTTCCCTTTCCCTCTCTAAATCCCCCAATCAAACACAACATTAGTAGGTCTAATCTATAGCACACGTGGTATGCCTTTTAATAATAAAGAGATACGTGATCACTTTATTTCCAGATATGTGTGTCCCTTTATTATTAGATGGACACACTATCACGTAATGAATTTTCCAAGTAACTTCTCATGCTAAACCTTATCCAATGGCTACTAAGCTCTGGCAACATAGAGCTGCAATTGGAAAAATAAAACTTGCATAGTTTTTGGTTAACTAGAATGAAAATTGAAATAGAATGATTGTTTTGTCAAAATACGTATTCTCATAATTAGTTCAGTAAAAGAAATATAATTACAGATTCATCAATTTAGGAGAATGCCATTTTATTAGGAGGTTAAGAAACAATCATCTTATTCATGTCTAAATTTATTCTAATAAATTAAACACTACTTAAAAATGATGAGTTAGTGCATATAAATTTGTTGCTTTCAAAGACCATTGAAAATATGTTCATTGTGAGAAAATGAAATTACTCATTGTAGTAACATTTCTCAAATTGGTAATTAAATTGTTGTATTTGAATGAGGGAGATGAATCTAAATAATGGGTGGTAAGAAATGCAAGTGCAAGTACAATAATTGTAGAGGAATAATAGCAAAGATAGGCACACTAGTACAATTATTTGTGAGGGTGTTTGGCTAGTGTAGGAACAGATTGAATTGGAGGAATTGCTTGTTTGGTAGAACTTTTTAGTGTAGCCATTTTATCCCAATTATACATCATCAAATGATCCCCACCCTAGTGGTAGGGCTTTGTGGTCTGCTCATGAAGTCTAGGGTTGAACCCTAACTATGCAAAAATGGTGTTCTTGACAATACCAAAAAAACCAAGGGCATCCAACTAGCTATGAAAGATAGGGTGCAATTAGCAATCTAAATTCAATTTATAAAGTTTTAAGGTTTGGGCAATATAATTTGAATTTGGGATGTTCAAAATTTTTTTTGAAGTGCATTTACAGGTTTTTGTAACTCACTTGGATGATTAAATCCTTATAAAATCAATCCTTATAAACCCTTCAATTATTGAAATTATGTCATTTTCACCCCTCCAAAAGAGAGTTCTTTTATGACTTTTTATAATTAAGGAGTCTAAATGTATAATTTTAAGATTAAAGAGGGTAAACTAATATTCAGTGATAAATGGAAAATTTTATTTTTTTTGTTAAAGATCAAAGTGAGGAAAGAAAATTAAAAGTCAATAATAAAATGGTATGAATATCCTCATCTTTAGCAAGCCGACCTTGAGCTTCTTCCACATTGTATTTGAGCTGAGCTCAAGTTTAAATTTGATCTCTATTAATATGCAAATTGAGTTTAAATACTTTTGTATTCAAATTAACTCAATTTGTTTGTAATAAGGGTGAACAATCATCGAGCTAAACTTGCACTATATAATACAAATATGCGTGTCATTTTAAATTTGGCCCAACTCTGGATTAGGTATAATCTAACCATTTAAATCCGATCTTAATGCTGTGTTTGATTGGAGGGATTTGAGGAGGGATTTGGAAAGGAAAATGAAAAAAACAGGTGAAATGTGAATAAATCATGCCTATATTTCACATAGTTTCACACACCTTTTTCCTTTTCCTTTCCAACCAAATCCTCCAACCAAACACAGCATAAATGAATTTCAAAATTTCAAATTCACCCACTTAACCCAACACATACCGCCTATTAAATTATTTTTTTGAAGGCTGTTAAATTCTTTAAATATTTCAATAATTATTTGAATTTAAAACATTAATGAAATTCAAATGTAAAATAAATGTAGTCTTTAAGCAAATGTTATAGCTTAAGCCTTAAAAAGAAGTGTGTATATATATGTACTTTTTTTTCTTTTATTATTTTTTTAGTTTATTTTGCATCTAAATAACATATAATTAATATTAATATTTTATTAATGAGCAGGCTAGGTCAGATGGGATCAAAACTCATCATTCTAAGCTCAGTTCGAAATTTAAATAGACTCAAAAAATTAAAAAAAATTATAATTTACACTAAAAAGTTAAAGATTTTATTTTCTCTTCGTAAAAAATCAAAAAGTCATTCCAAGTATACTAATTTTTTTTACCTCATCTTTTAGCCAAAAAATCAAAAAATTATTAAAATAGCATGTTCCCAAACAAGACCTCAAAATCTCAATCTAACCAAACCTTATAAAGTAAATATTTTTTTTTTCTTCAAACCATAATACTTTATTTGATTCATTGGAATGAATGAAATAGAATGATGATTCCATAAACTTTTTTATAGAATGATCATTCCCTTAAGATTGTGAAAATTGATTCCTTTGTAGTAATAAATTTGTTATTAATTTTTTAGTCTAATCAAACAAACATGAAAATTTGTTTTTTTATTTAAATAATAATTTTATTTCATTTCATTCCATTCCATTGAACCAAACACTACACAAAATTATTAAACCAAACTAGACAAATTGGACGGGTCATTGGGCCATGGCCACCACTTATTTGCAGCTTAAATAAGTTGGGACCATCTGAGGGGTTCTTTTCTTGACCAGAGGTGTTGGGTTTTTGGTACCCATCAACCACATGCATTGAGTTACATAAAAGGAAACATTAGACTTGGTGAAAATGTTTCTTGTCATGTTTTTTTTTGCTTCTTCGAAAATTCTCATTACAGTTTGATAATTGTTAAAATTATAAATATTTTCATGATTCTGTAATAATTTTTTTGACAAAACCATTGATAGGTAATTTTTCCAAAATTTATCTATATATTCAAAATTTCATGTATGGTTTCTATTCTTCATCTTCCCCATATCTTCTCCATTACTAAATCTATACATTTAGTGATAGTGAGCTATAAATAATCCTATCAAATTAGTGTAGTATTCACAATCCCACCCCTACTCCATTCTTAATAATCTTACAAATTTGTTGAATTAATTATCCATTAGATTAATAATCTTAAAACAAAATGTCAAAACAAATATGAAATAATTGGGCCTACGGATTAATAATCTCAATTCCATACTCTAATGATCCTTCCAATCAAACATGCCCTTACACTACTGTGCGTGGGGGGCTACAACCGGCAAAGATAGGGATATGCCATTGTGGTTGTGGAAGCACATGGACAGCCTGAACATGGGCACCCATCATAGTTGAAATTAAGATGGATCAGAATTCATTTACTAAAAAGATGTACGAGAGAGAGAGAGAGAGAGAGAGAGAGAGAGAGAGAGAGAGAGAGAGAAATTACATGGTGCTAGTATGACAATAGGAAGGAATGTTGTGCATTTTGGTGGTGGGATACACTTGGAATTTATATTGTTTTATCTAGATTTTGCAAGATCTATAAAATAAACATTCATGTAATTAAACATTGATAATCATATGATAGAATTACATTTATTTTTACAAATAACAGTAATTTTTTTTAAAAAAACAAATATGACTTGATCATACCATTCTCAATATCTAATGAACTTAATTTGTTTTTTTTTTAAATCACAACTTATTTTATAATATAATTTTAAATTTGGTGGTGCTACATGCACCAATTAATATATTATGTCATTATTATGAATCCTACCTATTATACAAATTATAAGTACTCAAAACTTCTAAAATTATGTCACATTATCTGTTAATATACTAGTTAGTATATTAATTGACACATATAATATTATTCTTTAAAATTTGAAAACCCTTAAAGCGTGCGTACCATAAGTATGTACCGCACTACAATTAGTGTATAATTTCGTAACATCAACTACCAAATATATAATTTCATCATAAATTAGTGTAACAAAATATTTAAAATTTTATAGTTCATGTAACAAAAGTTTGCACAACATTTTTTGTTACACCAATTTGTGGTGAAATTACAAATTTTACGATTGATATTACGAAATTTTATAATAAAATTATACCTATTTATGATAAAATACATATAATACACACCGGTAGAGGGAATTTTCCTTTTAAAGTAGTCTATCAAGCCAGGATCTCAAAATCAATAAATTTAAAATACGTTCATACCAGAATTATTTGCCGAACAACTCAATCCAATATATTCATGGATTATATAATTGGGCCGTTAGCACCAAACAAAATGACACTGCATACCTGCCTACGGTCATGGATTTTATTTTAAACCCTACCAGATACATATAATATATCCTCCTTTTCCTAATTACAAATATAATATCTTCTTCAGAATTCATAATTGAAGATAATCCCAAGTCAAACACAACACAACAAAATATAATAGAACTAAAAAAAACAACACGATTCATCTTGATCAACCATCTTTTCAAAATGTAGTAAGCAAAAATTTCAGAACTTTCTGTTAAGTTGAAATTTAATCTCAAAAAAAAAAAAATACATTTTTTGGTACAACATGGTAGCTCATGCTCCACACAGCTATTCCTAAATTCTGTAAACAAACATTTCTAGCTCAGTTTAAATCAATGGGGAAAAAACAAAAATGGCCGGGATACAAAAATACACAGGAGCAGTGGAGTCAACATAAAACAACAATGCCATTATCCAAAGCCCCTTTCAAGATTACAAATTGAATTTGATACCATGGAGGCAAGAATGTTGATCATCATAATCTAGGGTTGGACAACTCTGAGCAGTTCTCTTTCTGATGAAGTTCCGAAGACTTTTTCCCTGGGTTAAAAAGGCATGGAAGAATATGATAACACACAGGCAAGAATGTTAATCATCGGATTCTAGAGTTGGACTATTTGAACAGCTCTCTTGCTGATGAAGTTCCAACATCCTTTTTTCTGGGTTACAGAGTCCTGGAAGGTAAGAGCAATGTTAGTAGTGTGAATGTTCATGCCCATAAGCGTGCAACCCAAAATAAGCTATATCCACTTCTATGCATTGGAACATTCTTTAAAAATCAATTCTTTGGACAAGTTGTGTTTCAACATGAAATCGATTTGAAACATAATAATCACAAAAACTATGGCCATGTTTGATTGCCTCACTAATGGTGGAATTGAAAGTGGAGGAACATGTAGAACCACCCGGATTATTAGTCCAATGTGTGATTGCGGGATATGGAGGAAGGGATTGGAGATTGGGAACATATGGGTGCCACCAGATAGTTCAATCCGGTGTTTGTTTTACATGGTACTAAATTTTGGACAATTTAAGTACCGGTATAGAGTACTAAATAGAGAAAAATAGGGGATTAAATAATATCTTAGGTATTGTGGTATTAGAAGGATTAGGCCTCTCTGGATTTTTTTTTTTTGTTTACCTCATCCAGCAGTCAAATCTAATTATTATTATTATTTTTTTTAATTTCATTCTAACCAAATATAATACATCATTCTTTCTATCCAATCATTTATCTAATCTATTATCCCCCATAGTCCTATCCACATTATCCTATCATACAACCAATCCTTCATCCCATCTAATCCCATGGTATAACTTATCCCTCACAATCCAATCCTATCAATAATCATATCGTATCTAATCGCATAAAAATAATGGGGCAATCATATGTGGTTTATGTGCATTCCATTATATAAAGGGAACAACCCTATTTATGTTCCCTTTCTCGAAGCTGTCATACTTGTGGTTCCCATTATAGCCTTGACAGTCAACCAATGATTGAATTTAAGTAGGATGTAAATATGACAATCCTACTCTGCCAGACTGCCACCTTATGCATTGTAAGAACAGCCCATAACTTCCAACAAAAACATAGACAACTTCTAATCAACATATAATTCCTTTTTATTTCTTATATATAAACATAGTGATCACGCATGTAATGCATCACCCTTCTAGTAAATACAAAAAATGAAATACAAATCCATTCTAAATTCATAGACTATGGGCAACAACTCAAAACAGTTCCATTTCTATGGAATGCCCGTCTGCCACATCAAATTTTTTACTTTGTGATCTCTTTGAGTCCAGCAGTCAGTTTTAAGGGGGCCTGGTTAAGTTCTTGATGAATTATATCCTTTTATCATTTATTTTTACCCTCCTCCATAGGTGAGATTTTATTAGATTTCAGCATCTGGAGCCAGTTTCTAAGAGAAACTGTTTTCAAACTATGGGAATGATTACCAACCTGAACACTTTGGAATATCCCAAACAGCAATCGATGAGGCAGCACATTCGGGCTGACACAGCTGTCGATTGTCCTCGTGGTTGACATTCATAGCAAGCATCCATGCACCAATTGTAACATCCTCATTGCTGAACATCCGGAAACTGTAAATTCAAGCAAATCTGAACACATTATATGACAAGAATGGATTCCAACAGGAGTACTAGTGGAACATGTCAATCTGAAGAATTGAGAATTTATGGTCTACCTAATATGTGAAAATTGAAGTGAACTTTTCGCCTATGAATTGAAAGAACAGACCATAAATTTTTGGCATGTTATGTAAAATTTCTTTAAAAGAGCCCATTGGTTACACAAGAACTGTAACATGTATAACTGTGTAGTTAGGCTTAAATAAGTAACACAATTCATGTAATGCTCACCACCCCAGCCTTTTAAATCTGTCAGATATAAGAAGTTAAAGAATAGGCTTCCATTTTCCCAAAATATTTTATTAAATGAGGCTGCCCGTCTGCCAGATATATCTAAGTCCATATCAGTATTACAAATATAAAAAGCAATGTAAGCATACAAGGGAGAATGCATTAGCCAAGAAGAAAAATAGATTTGAAAGCAATGAGAGAGAGAGAGAAAGAGAGAGCTAAAGATGCATTTGTCTTTTTGGTTTACAACAACAATATTCATTTCAGTCTAAATGTTGCTAAAGATGCAACCCAACATGACAGAAAATGTTAAAAGGATAGACACAATCTTGTGCAATTGTACTTCTTTTACCATCTTAAAATAAACGGCTCAATTTCTGTTCTCAAGCTCAATTTCTCAAGAAGGTGAAGGCATTCCATCCGCGCTACAAGTACTTAAACTGGAACATAGGGTGCATTCACAATGGCGATAAGGAGGCGCATCATCAGCCTCACAAACCGTTTAAAAATTATAGATCAACTATACCAGTAGCAAATTTAACAACAGTGCTTTATTGAGGTGAACCAAACACAACATTGTCAATAAATTCTGAATATAAATCTGGTTAATTATCCATGAAATCCAGATCTAAGCATAACTTCTTATAACTGGATACAGTACAAATAAGCAAAAAGACAAAAAAATAAAAATATGAACATTTTTTGTGATAGTTAGCAAATAAAGAAAAATGTCATTGAAAGTGAGATTACCTGTTGTTTCTTAAAGCAACCAAGCTTGAAACAACATCAGCAGAAAGAGCATATATTGGACCATAAGCATGGATAAAGTACTCCTTCCCAAGCAAATAAGATAGCGGCTCATACCTGCATGAATTAAACTGATATGATTACTTCACAATAACAATTACAAAGTTAGCACTTAGCACTAATTTATGGTCATCGCTAGCATTCTTCCCTCAGACTACTGTGTTTCTGCCAAGGATAGCTCTAATTCCAACTTCCACAAAAATTATAGTTCCAAATAAATTATCAAACACTTTTGAAAAGATTGCAAAACTTCCCAAAATTCAAGAAGAAGCATTTAGAACCTGTTGAGAGGTTATGTTAAAAATAAATAAATAAAATAATCAGAGCAGAAACTCAGGATAGCCACTTTGTGCAAAATAAGCAATTCTCACAACCCTAAAATTGGCAGGACCAACCAATGATTTGGTAATCCCTCTAATTCAGAGCAGAAGCTCTAGGTCTCAATCTCTTCTAGGTTTTCATAAAACCAGACTGACAGCTGAAGAAGATAGTAAACGAGGACAGTGTATGAGGCAAAGTATCTTCACAAAAACTATATCCTGACTCCTTTGTTGTTCTTTTCTGGAATTTTGCATGCTTTTTTTTCACCCATATATCAAACAATCGGTCATTATGGTTGCATAGATATATATTTTCTATGGATTTTGATTCTCAAAACTTCAGTTGTGAAAGCTTGCTAATTATGTGTGAAGTATAGAAAACCATAATATGTAAAAGATGGATCAATGTGAGCGGTTCCAAATGAATTACTTATAATTACTTATCTGTTTTGCAACCTCTAACATCAGTCTTGTATCTTGCCTTGAGCAGATTATATATGTTAGAATAAATAAAAACTACTTTTATACATCAGAAGTCACCAGACAAAAATATTAGCACATCCATATTTGACTTCAAATACAGTAAAATGCATCAGCATCTCAAGTATGTAATCACCAGAAATTTTTGAAAGCAAGTCAAAGAAACAGGGAAAAATCACAGAAATCATAGATACATAGTCAAACGTCACAGGACTAACCATTTGAGCTTAGGGTCAGTAAAAACTGGACCTTTTTTCATGCATCCGAGGTAAGTTTGAGAGTGTGAACGCTCTTTTGCCAAAAGTAGTGAAAGGCGATCTAGCAATCAATGAAAGAAGACTGTCAGTGATTGCATATGAAAAAATCTTGAGAATAAAGCATCCGAGAGTACGGAGCATTGGTGAACACTGTAAAACTACTCACCTGGCCTCAAATATATATCGTCATCAGCTTTAACATAAAACTCAGAATCAAAAAGTGCATAGGCAGCTTTGAAGAAAGCCAACCTGTAGAGTCATAAGTTACTGCCATTCCAGAATAAGAGACAATAGGCAATGAAGAATGATAGATACTTAATGCCAGCACTAACGTTTTGTATGGAAGTTTACTGTATTCCTCCTCAATGTCTAACAGCATGAAGTCATCATACTCCGCCACCTCCTTTCTGAGCTTTGACATTTTTGATTTATCACTGGTTCTACCAATAACAAATCTGATAGCTAGGCCGGTGGCTTCTTCCAAGCTGTGAACCATCATTCCATTCCAACAGGTTAGCATAAAACCACACAAGCAAACAATAAGAAAACTATGGACTGTTATAAGCCAACAGCAATCTACTACATATCTTCACAGTTAGTGGAACAGGGACACAAACAACAACAGTAGTTAAGAAGCATAAAAAACAATTACATTCTCGTAGAATGTAAGTTAATACTCCAGAGGTAGCAACACAAATAAATTGCACTACAAAATTGTAATTGGTCGATGCCAGTTTAAGTTATTGCACACAATTATTGCTCCGTGTATATAGATCTTCAAAGTCCAATAATTATGACAAACCAAGCAATTAGTTAATAATGCTACTAACTCTATTCTTTTAAAGGTAGGATCTGACTACAATTTGTTGTCCCATTACTTAGGACTCTTGTCATGGGGCCACTTCTATGAACTCCAGTCATGATGATCCAGTGGGAGGGATCTTCCTCACAAGGAGCAAGATGCAAGAATACTATTTTCATTAGCTTCTAAGGTTTAGAGTTCATAGATAATTGGGTAAGGAAATACATATTTATATTTACATTTATAACTAAGTACAATTAAATAAAAGACCTTCCAATAAAACAGCAAGGCAACTTGAACCGTGGTGGACTGCAATGTTATGCATTCATAAGTATGCTGCTCCATTGTTGAAGCATACTTATGAATGCATAACATATTTGCATGGCAACTAACCAATTCACAGTCAAATAACCAACTCAAATGTCAAAAAGTAAGGAATTGGGAGGGATATTGCTTCCATTAGCTAATCTACGACTCGGTGAGAAAATTTACGTCACCACCCGACAAATTAGGTATCTAAGGGAACTTGTGGCCATACACATCATTCAATTTCTCTCCTTTGGAAGTAACAACACCCGTGACTTTTACATCTTCTATGTTGCCTCCCCTACCTTGGTAATGAGCTACCATAGCACATTGCAAGCATTAAACCCTTTGTGAAACCCAGTCCTCCTCGCAACCACAGCTTCCAAGCTACTACCCGGTTTAAGTTCCACTGGCTACCATTCCTGTCAATCTTAAGCTCCCACCTTTTTCAATTATGAATTTCTCACAAAATGCATAATCTCAACCCCCCCCCCCCTCTCTCTCTCTCTCTAAACTTCATGCTTTCCACATAAAAATGAAAGATTCAATAAATTAAACCATAAATTGCTTTTCAGATCAGATCACAGAACAACACATCATGGTTCAAATCAAACCACAAATTAAAGATAGAGAAGTATACCGTTGAAGCCCTTGCCGATCCGACGGCATCCAAGTCTGACGCAACGATCGCCGTCGTTCAACCGACCCGAACCCAGTTTGAATTCCAACGAATCCCATAACTTTGTACCTCTTCTGATCACCATTTCCATTCCCATTTCCACCACCGCTGCTTCGCTCCCAAACCACCGACACAGATTGAGGTTTACCGTCTCTACATTTATATCCCAAAGGCTGTCTCGAAATCGCAACGAAGCCGAAGACGAAGCCGGTGAGTCCGATCAGGAAACAGAGGATCAAGACGGTGGATCTGCGAGAGTAGGAAGAAGAAGAAGAAGGGCGAGCATAGAAGGATTTGGGAGAAGAAGGCATGTCGAGATGGGAGTGTTTGGATTCCGAGAAAGAGGCTAGAAAGCTAGGGTTTTGGAGGGTTTGGGAAATGGAAGGTGGGTGTAGTAAGGAAGTGTGGAATTGGTTTGAGGGTGTGAAAGGTGGTGGTGATTCATGGCGGAGTGAGGGAGAAGCAAGCAAAGCAATTGATGTTAGCTGTTTGCAGCTGAGCTTTCGTTTTCGATTTGTTAATCCTTCTAAAATTGTTTAATTTAACAGTATTTAAAATAAGAAAATTGTTTCAAAATATTTTTTCAGACTATTTTGATAATGAATTTAAATAGAAATTTTTTAAAAAAAATAAAAAAATTATTTAAATGTAAATAAATATAACTTTTTTTTTTTTTAATCTGTACATTCTATCTGAGAGATCGTCAAGATCTGCTGCTGAAAGCTGGTCGTAAAAATCATCTCCCATAGCTGGTTCATTCCCCCATTGGTTATCTTGGTCATTTTCTCCCATTAGTGGTGATTCATGAGAGACGCTATGCTGATAGCTGGGATACTGACTTTCATCGACGAATGTTTCTTTGCTGAAGGGATAACCTGGGATAGCCGGGTTACAGTATATCTTTTGATTTCTATCTTTGCAAACTAGATGTCCATAATTTCCATTATACGCTAATAGAGGATTATTAGCAAATTTCCTCTATTTATTGAGCTGATCTATGAGTGAAAATTTTCTGCATAGACAGGGTCTCCGATTGAAAAGTCCTGGGTACCTTGGAAATGTTGAAGTTCCTCTAAGGTACATTTTATACTTGGTTGGGATGCACCTTATTCCTTTCCATTCTGGTAACTTGCTATCAATTAACGCTTCCACATATGGATGATGCTCTTCCATTACACAAAGTACTGAATGAGCAAATTTATTTCCAAAACTATCTGTCTAATCTGGATCTGAGAAAATTATTATAGAGACAAAGCCATAATCTAATAATTGTGAAGCTGTTAGATAACGCGTTTTGCCCTTAATCTCTATCTCCAATGGCTCGAACGTTGCAAGATTTATCTGGCAAAGGCAAATGCTGAAATCTAAATTATACTGACATCTATCAAAATATTATGGCATGTCCATCCATCTTTTCTCTTCTAAGCAGGGCTGCTCTTCATCCTTGTAGAGATAAGTCCATTGATAAGCTATACCAGGGCAATGAACTCCTGCTATGGAGAGATCTTGAAGAAACTACTGTATAGTGACTAGCTCACTATTTTTGCTATCTTCGGCTAAGGTGTATATATAGTGTTTAAGGTCTTCTATTTCTTGGCTTTTTTCACAAAAAGATCGAATGATAAAATGTCTGAAAAAATACATTCTAGCACTCAATTGTTCAAATTCCTCACTGGTGAGTTGGTGCTTTTTCTGGAGTGGGTGCTTTTTCTGGAGTTAGTTTTTTGGAGTGGGTGCTTTTTCCATTCTAGCACTCAAGAAATGGAGTGGGTGCTTTTTCTGGAGTAAGTTTTTTAAGCTGGTTGGTTAGGGTTCGAATGGTAGCTCTCAATTGTTTTTCTTCGTATCGGAGCTGGTCTAACTCTTCATTGACCTTTTTGCCTTTATCTATAATTTTCTTGAAATTTCTGGTAAGGCCATCACAATGTCTGCACATTTGGAGAGGATTTTGAGAATTTATCTAAGGGTTAGTACTATTGCTTCCAATTATCTGGCTAACTAGAACTCCACTAGTCGCAAGAATGATTGACTGCATCTTGCCCAAAGTGTCCAGATAATCTTTAGCTATTTGGCTGATAAAGTAACTAGTCCCTATTTGTCTATGGACATATGTACTGGCTGACTCAAAATCATAAAATCCTTTAAACTGGGGTATGAAAAAAATTTTAACTAAGGGTTCAACTTTTATCCAGTCATGGTAAATACTAGGCTTGGTTCCTTTAGCTACTACATAGAAAGAAAAGCTTTTAGACAAAGGTTTATTCTGGATTTTTGAAAAATATATACTGAGAGAGTTTAAGGCTGACAGACGTTTAGCTGGGTGGATATGGTTGTTCTAAAGGTTATCTTAAGACACTGTTGAACCGGGTCTAGTTCGATTCCTGTTAATGGTCTGAATTTGTTTCTGCCTTCATAAATGGGAAGGACAAATCCCCAAAAGTTCATGGTTTTGCTGTTCTCCATTATCTGCACAAAAATTAAACTGGTTATTTTATTTTTCTAAATAAATCTTCCTACTTAGCCAATCTGTTAATTTATTATTACTCCTTTTAATATGTTCAAATTTTACTTTATATCCTTATCCTACTATACAATCTAAAAATTTTGCCCATCTTCTGGTACTTAGTTTGCGCTCATTAAGTTTATTATGAAATCTGACTATAGCTTCACAGTCTGTTCTGATTGTAAAGGGCTTGTGTAAGAATAATCTAAATTTATTTATTGCATATACTATTCCTAATATCTCAAAATCTAGGCTGGTCATGGTAATATCTTTTTCTTTAAATTTTCCAGAACTATATCTAGACATGCATTCTTTATTTTTACTATCATACTTACTAGGTTTAGCTAATAATACTATTCCCCATCCTAATTGACTTGTATCTGTTTCTATGAATATATTCTGATTCTAAAGGAAGTTGTAAGTCAGGTAAATTTCTACAAATGTCTTTTATTTTTCGAACTAAAGCTATATCTTGTTGATTGAAATATTTTTGCCCTGTAGGTGTGTGTAAACGCCCCATTTTTGACCGACCTTAAGACTTAGACGTCACCAGTTGAGCGCTCGGTGATGTTGCTTATTGTGCTCGACCTGAGGTTTCAGAGTCTCAGCTGAGAGCCTTACCTCCAGACTTCGAGGCTCTTTTGTGCTTTGCCTCGATTTGCGAACCAGGTCCTATTTTCTTTGTTTTCTCTTCCCAAAGGGAGGGAGAGGTCTCGTAGACCATCTCTCAGTGGCCGTAGGCTATGTTTCGTGGTCGTAGGCCACTTTTCCCGTTTGGAGCCCAGTTTTCGGTTTTCGGAGCCGTCGACCGTATGCCTCGGTTTGGGACTGCTTAACTATCTCCGTTTGCTCCGGTTTTTGGCACACACCTTATTTCCTCCCTTTAGAGGGACACTGTGGACCGGGAGACCACTTTCGTGGTCATATGCCACTTTCGGTGCCTAACAGCCTGTTTTCGGGGCCCTGAATCGCGCGTTTTGGCCCTCGAACATTCGTTTTGCATTCGTTTTAGTCCATTTTTGGTAGAGACCCTATTTTCACTGTTAGGGAGGGGGTAGTATGGTGGCCGGCCACCTTTTCTCTTGAAAAACCAGTTTTTTCATTTTCTCTCTCCAAAAGCCGATTTTTCTGACAGAAAGCTGGCTTTTCTCTCTTTTGAGCCACTTTTTCTGGCTTTTCATACCACAGCTGTGTTGCACTTATCTGGAAGGCCACCTTTTTGGGGTGGTCGGCCAGAATTTTTTTGTTAACCTTTTTGACCCTTGGTCGACCGACTAGGAGAAGTGGCTGGCCGGCCACCTTAGCTGGTCGGCTAGCTTCCTGCTTTTTGCTCTTCTCAAGTGCAACACAGCTGTGCCAACTGTTTTGCACTTGACCCACTGTCCGAGGATTTTGTCCCTGTTTTGGTCCTTAAAAGGGGGTTTTGACCCCTTTGTTTAGGGAGGAAGATGGTTTGGCCCCTTTGGTCAAGCTTCTTGAGTTTTTGGTCTAGCTTCTTCAAGAAGCTTGACCCTTTGGTCAAGCTTCCTTAACCCTTTTTGGTCTAGCTTCTTCAAGAAGCTTTGAACCCCTCTCTTGGCTTCTCTAAGAAGCCTCACCCTTCTCCCTCTATATAACACACACTCCACCTCCATTTGCAAGGGTTAGAGGCTTTGGGCTGAGATATATACATACAAACCTCCATCTTTCCACTTCAAGCCTCCAAACATCCTTGTTCTTGGCCATTTTACACTACAACTCCTAGCCTACCACCTCTACCATCCATTCCAGTCCCTTGAAGTTGATTTTTAGAGGTTGAAGGTTCACCAACTTGGTCCAGAAGCTGCTGGAAACCTGCTCTTCAAGGGTAAGTGCCTATTTCCCCTAAACTCACATATTTTTGCATGATTGGTTAGCCTTATTTGCAAGCATTTTTGGGATTTGACCCAAATTGTAAAGTGTCTTATTTTGATCCCCTCTTGAACTTTGTTTAAGGGCACTTTACTGTTTGAGGTCATTTACTTCCCCTTATCCTCTATCTCTCTTTTAGGACTATTTTTGCATCCTATTTTAGCCTTACTTGTGAGCATTTTCGAGATTTGCTATAAACTGGAAAAATTCTTGTTTTGACATCCTCTTCAAGTTTTGTTAAGGTATCATTTCCGTTTGGGGTCATCTTTCCCCTATGCATGCTTCATCCCTTCATGATTAAGGCTATGCATTAGAGCACTTGCATTGGCCATGGTTTGGCCTCTTAACCATTGAAATCCAGTGAATTTTCAGTGGCTTAGATGTATTTTTGAGGGCCAAAATTAGAGGGGGTGACCCGCTCTCTCCTTGTCTTGTTTGGGGGTCTTTTGGGCCTTCCAAAGGGACCCTATTTTGCATGCATCAAAGTCTTGTTTTAGGCCTCATTTTGTGAATTTTTGGGTCTGCCTTGGCTCTATCCAAGGCCCTTTTGGCCATATTTTATACCTACAATGCATGTGTAGAGCAATCCCATCCAAGGCTCTTCAAAGGAGCCTTTCTTTGCATGTTTCCTAGACTGATTTCAGGGCCAATTTGGTGAGTTCTAGGGCTGTCATAATCCATTCCCAGAGTTGGTTTTTCCATGCTAAGTGTCTATCTCGTATGTGCTTAGCAACCCCTTGCAGGGCCCTCTAAAGAAGCCCCTCATTTTTGCATGCATTGGCTGCATTTCAGTGATTATTTGGGCATATTTTGGCATGTTTTATTCACTGTTTTTGTCTGGTTTGATGAGTTCTCATTTGCTTCATATACATGCCATGTAAACTGACAGAAAGCTGGCTTTTCTCTCTTTTGAGCCACTTTTTCTGGCTTTTCATACCACAGCTGTGTTGCACTTATCTGGGAGGCCACCTTTTTGGGGTGGTCGGCCAGAATTTTTTTGTTAACCTTTTTGACCCTTGGTCGGCCGACTAGGAGAAATGGCCGGCCGGCCACCTTAGCTGGTCAGCTAGCTTCCTGTTTTTTGCTCTTCTTAAGTGCAACACAGCTGTGCCAACTGTTTTGCACTTGACCCACTG